TCTGCTGGCTGGGTGCTGGCAGGCTTGCACCTGGCATGGGCACCGTAGCCAGCCCGTGCCCCTTTAAGGAGTCCGGGGCCAGGAGGGGGGCAGACGAGTTTCCCTGGTGTTGGCCAGAGTGGCCACCAGGGAAACCTGGGGAGGGCTAGCCTCCCACTAGTTCGAATTAAGGGGCTACACACCCCTTAATTCGAACTAGCTAGTTTGAACTAGGCTTAATCCTCGTAAAATGAGGTTTTCCTAGTTCGAACTAAGCGCTCCGCTAGTTCGATTTAAATTGTGTAGCGCCTATGAAAGTTAGTTCGAACTAACGTCTGTTAGTTCGAATTAACTTTGTAGTGTAGCCATACCCTAGTGGTTTTCTTGCATTCATGAATGAAGGGAATGAAAGTTTTCAATGAAGATGAGAGATGGGAAGTTTATCAGAAGACCATTGTCTCATTGCAGGAGAAAAATAACCCCAATCCTACAGACATCATCATCACCACCAAAGAACACAAAATGGTCAGATGCAGAGTAAGTGACTGATGAAGTGTCAAAATATATTACCCTGAAGCTGACAAAGAATGAAGATGTGCAACTGTTGGGTGGTGAAGACAACACAAACACAACTTTCCCTTTCTCACTCCAGTTGTGCATTCCATCCCTGCATCCAGTTCACCCTCTGAAAGAATCTTTTCAGTCTCTGGTTACACAATTAAAGAGACTTATATTTCACTTAAACCAGAAACTGTAATGATTTAGTGTTTTTACATAGCAATGTCAAAAAAAATCAGCTGTCTTGAAGACATATAGGCTGTTTCTAGACTGGCAAGTTTTTCTGCAAAAGCAACTGCTTTTGCGGAAAAAATTGCCAGCTGTCTACACTGGCCGCTTGATTTTCCTGTATTATTCAGGGAAGCATACTAGAACTGGCATTAGAATCTATGAATTTTTAAAGGCAGAGGTGACTGCTGAGACCTAAAAAGGGTGCACTCAGAGTTCGTGAGCATTCGAGGTATGGTTCATTTGAAACTGTAACAAAAAGTTTTGGATAAAAGTGGGAACACAAAATGTCCAGCATTAGGTTTCCTAACAAAACAAACAAACAAACCATGGCTAATTGTAGCAAGATCTGGAACCAAAAGGAAAAGTTACACTCTTCTCATCAGCTAGGATACCATGATTATCCCCACAGAGAATCCTACTTTGTATCAGAGGGGCACAGGGGGAGGGGTGTCTAGACTACACAGTTTTTTCAAAAGAAGTGGCTTTTCTTTTTCTTTTTTTCTTTTTTTGAAAAAAAAAACACCATACCAACTTTCCCTGCGTCTAGACTGCTGCCGTGTTCTTTCCAAAGTAAATCAAAAGAATGCGGCAGCTGAGACCATCTATATGCACAGCTGGTTGCAAGACAGTTAATTGATAAAAACAAATGCACACACTAGAAAACTGAAGTCTGTGCTTGCTATCTACCTAACATTATCATTTGGCAGCATAGGTATGAACTCCATAAGTGTTCTAGGACTAGAAAAATTAGCGGGTGCTGGATCCCCAAGCTCCTCCCACATTCCTCATATTTTGAAAAAGCCTCTTTCAAAAATGGCTTGCAAGTCTAGACATAGCCATAAGGCCCAAGTTCTGCAACTAAGAGCAGGTGAGGTAGAGACTAGCCCTGCAGTGCATAGTTTGTATTGAAAAAGTTGTTGTGGCTCCCATAAACCCCAGCACAATAGCACTGGAGGCAAAGGTTTATACTCACCCCTATGCCCTCTCTAGAGCCCCTCCCCTTAGTGTAATCACATGTAGAGGGAAAGTGCCTGCTGTGCCTACTCCTGTTTCTCCCACACAATCCTCCTAGGAGGATAACTTATGAAATGAGAAGTGCCAGTAGAAGTGTTTAGCCAGGTCAGCCCTAAAAATTAAGAACTAGCTGGGCAGCTGGCCAAAGAGCACTTTCTTTAGTTCACTTCCCTCTGCTTCCCACACCTGCACCCCTCTCCTGAAGCTGCTCCCTTCACCACTGCAACTTCCCAGTGGGGAAACTGATGATCTGATCTGAAGTCATGGTCCAGACTGAAGTGCCTGTTGTCGATGGTCGTGATCCCCCCCATAAGCTCCCTAGGAGAATAACTTGTGAAGTCTTCTCAGCCCAGCAAGCCCTGGCTTAGCACTAAAACTTGGCAGCCTGCTGGAGAGCACCTGCAGCCCCCTGCACTCCTCATCCCTGCACTCCCTCTCCTGCAGCAAGAAACTGACAAAGTCACAGAGCAAAGTGTCTGCTGTCGTTGCTCCTAGTTCCACCACACAGACCCCCTAGAAGCCCAGAGGGGAGGTGTCCTGGGATTCCCCTCGTGATTCCACAGGTAGAACAGATTCTCCTCTCTTGCATTATCTTATCTCAACTATTCATCACTCAGCTTCAGTGACAACTTTGAAACTGGGCAATGCATAGAGATAAAGATAATACCCTACAGTGTGTTCTGGGGAGGGACTGTGAGCAATTAAAAACGCTAGAAAAAAGCCAGAGGAACTCATTCTCATCATATGGCATTTTCTTCTCCCCATCTCAATATTGCAGAACACAGCAGGAAGCTTGGAGACTGGCATAATTTAAAAAACAAGGAGGCAAAGGGAAAGAAAGGCTCCCTCCTCCACTAGTCCAAGTCTATGGTTTTAGACTGCAGTGAAAACCATAGCAAGGATAAGGGCAGTATTGTACTTGTTCTGACGACTGTTATAAAATAAAGATTGATGTTTACAATAACAACATGGTTGATACATACATTTATTTTATTAAGCCACAGGACACACGCGCGCACACAAACACAAATGCTCCTTCTAAGACTGAGCACAGTGAGACGAGCTGCTTCCGGCTTGATGCGGATGCGGATGCAGATGTACATAAAAGGTGGAGAGCGGATTCCGGATCGGATACATGCTGTTTTTAGCCGATGTGGATCGGATGCAGACCCACATTTTTATATCCACACAGAGCTCTAGCCATTGAGGAGGCAGGAGCTGCGTGTGTGTACCAGGGGAGGGGGTGGGGCTGCTGCCTGAGGAGTTCGAACCCTAACTCCTGTCTCCATTTGCAGCGGCGTCGGCCCGGCGGCGCTTCCCTCCCTCACGGCGCGGGGGCCTCAGGGAGGGGAGGAGATGGAGATGAAGAAGCGCATTACGCTGGAGTTGAGGAATCGGGCCCCAGAGAAGGTATGGGGATGTGACGCCCCCCCTAATGTTCCCCATCGCTGAACAGCTGATACCTCGCGGGGTGGGGGGGGGTAGCCGCCACGTGGGGCTGGACACCTCTGCGCTGCGAGGCCGCTGCACTCCTCCACCCGGTTTCCCTCTGCCCTTACGTTTCCAAAGGTTCCTCGGGAGGCAGCTTGTGTACCGCGCAATCCCTGACGGTTCCCCCGCGATGTGTCTCCATAGCCCGCTTCGCCTCTCCCCAGCACCCTTATTCTGTTGGCTGGGTGTCCAGCCCTGACTCAGCGGGCATGACACCGGACAAGTGGGGCAGCCAGTGCCTGGGACTGGCCCCTTGTCTCGGGCGATGGGCATGATTTGAGAGGTTCCGCAGTGTGACCCAAGAGCAGAAATTAATTTACCTCCCTCCCTTCCTCTGGCAGCCCCTTCCTGATCCACAGCTTCAGGGTTGCCCCCATTTGGAGGGTTCCCTTCTTAGACTTTTGTCCCTAATTCTTGATTGAATTTAAAGGATGTTTCCCCTGTTTGGTGTGGATGTTGGATTTAGAGTGAAAACTTCTATCTCCTTTCCCCGCCTTCTGAGCTAACTTAACTCTTGTATACTGGAAATCTGGGTCACCCACCATGCTTCAACATCAGTAGGTCGGGGGGAGGGGGATTTTTGTACGAGACTTCAAGCTGCAGCTGCTTTTTGAGCTGACGAATACATGGGAATCCTTAACTTTTATAATCCCTCTTCTCGTTGCCATCGGTGGCGTGCTTTCTTATTTATTTTTAACTTCTACTACGTGGATATTGTAAACAGGTCATAGTTGCACCGAATCCATTTTAGAACTATCTGGGTACATGACTTTGATTTCTTGCAGTCCTTTTCCAGCAATCTACGAGAAGCAGGCAATTTTTATAAAATGTCTTTGTAAAATGATTTTCCTCTTTCTTTCTCTGCTGACATTTAGAGCTGTTTATTTTGAATTACATCATATTTGTTCTCTTCTTTCTCCGTCTCACCCCTTCCTTCCCTGAGTTTTCAGCTCTGCCCAGAAAGCGCATGCTGGGGTAATGGCACCCTTCTCTCTTTTCCTTGAAACCCATACTGCTTGTAACCAGCCTTCCTAATGGCTAAAGGCAGATAAGGCGATTGCTGTTAGGTCCTTTTCAGTCATCAGAGACAAGATAGGCTTTTCGTGTGTACCTCCACCCACCAAGCCATAAGGTTCGGTTTTGCGAGGTCATGTACAACAGGATTCGCTTCTCTATGCCCGCCATGCGGCTAGTCAGGTAGCTCTACTAACTCTGTGATGAGGGAGTGGAGGTGTACAGTACTGCAGAGAACACCAGCCCCTACTGCTCAAACTTAACTTCAAAACAAAAGTCCGGGAGAAATGGAGCCTGCTTACATTGAAACTTTTTATTTCTTTTATAGTGAAGTAGGATGAAAGTCTGAAGTGCATTGCAATGTGCAGATTACATGTAAAATACTTTTCTTAATATTGTATTTAGTCTTCAGACAGATACAAGCAATTCTACTCATAATGAATCTCCTTAAATTGGGAAGCCCAGGTCATGTGCTTACATTGTAAAACTCAAGTATATATAGACAAGCGTGCTCTTACTCACATGAGTAACTCAAATTAATCACAATTAAATTAATTGTGATTACAGTTTTATTCACAATGTTAAACAATACTAACTGAATTTTAATAAATATATTTGGATTTTTTTCACATTTTCAAATATATTGATTTCAATTATAATATAGAATACAAAGTGTATAGTGCTAACTTCGTATTTTTACTACAAATATTTGTACTGTAAAACTGATAAATAGCATTTCTGAATTCAACCCATGTAAGTATTATAGTGCAGTCTGATTACCATGAAAATGCAATTTAGAAATACAGATTTTTTTTTTTTACATAACGGCACTACAAAATAAACAAAAGGAAAACTAGAGCCTAAGAGTCCACTCATTCCTACCTCTTAGGCAGTCAACTGCTAAGGCAAACAAGTTTGTTTTCATTTCCAGGTAATAAAATTGCTTTTTATTTACAATATCTGAAAGTGAGAACAGGCATTTGCACAGCACTGATATTGCCAACATTACAAAGTATTTACATGCCAGATATGCTAAACGTTCATATGCCCCTTCATGCTTCAGTCATCATTCCAGAGGACATGCTTCAATATGGATGATGCTCATTTAAAAATGTTAATTAAAAGTTTGGCTTTTGGGGAGTGAATTGTATGTCTCCTGATGTTTTACTCACATTCTGCCTTAAATTTCATGTTATAGCAGTCTCAATGATGAACCAACACATGTTGTTCATTTTAAGAACATCTTTGCAGATTTGACAAAACACAAAGTACCAGTGTAAGATTTGTAAAGATAGCTACAGCACTTGACCCATGTTTAAAAATCTGAAGTGCCTTCCAAAATCTGAGAGGGACAAGATGTGGAACATGATGGACAAGAAGCAATGGGCTTAAATTGCAAGGGAGGTTTAGGCTGGACATTAGAAAAACTTACTGACTGTCAGGGCGGTTAAACACTAGAATAAATTGCCTAGAGGGGTTAGTGGAATCTCCATCATTGGAGATATTTAAGAGCAAGTTAGACAGACACTTGTCAGGGATGATCTAAACCAGGGATACTCAACATGTGGCCCGTGGATCCACATGTGGCCCATTTGTTTGCGGCCCACAGTGCGGTTTGAGATTATGCAGGGCTCAACACGTGGGATCCTTTGAACATGGCCTCACGAGGCATCTCCCAGGCGGGGTGAGCACTGAAAAATGGAAGACGGGCTGGCTGGAACAGATAGGTATAGGGTGTCAGCGTTTCTAGTCCCCAGGGTCTAGACAGTAGCCCTGATCTAGACAGTGCTTGGTCCTGCCATGGGGGCAGGTGACGGGACTTGATGACCTCTTGAGGTCCTTTTCAGTTCAAGGATTCTATGATTCTGTGTTCTCAGAAGTCTTAAAAGAGCAACACTCCTATGTGAAAATTACAGACCCCAAATCACCAACAAAGACAATCAACCGTTTGCTGGTTTCATCTGATTCAGATGATGAAAATGAACATGTGTCTGTCCACACACTGCTTTGGATTGTTATTGAGCAAAACTTGTGATCAGCATGGACATGTCCTCTGAATGATGGTTGAAGCATGAAGGGACATATGAATCTTTAGCATATCAAGCATAAATATCTTGTGATGCCTACTACAACAGTGCCACTCCTTTTCTCACTTTAGGGGACATCATAAGCAAAAAGCAGGCAGAGTTATCTCCCATAAATGTAAACAAATTTGTTTGTGTGAGAATTAGCTGCATAAGATGTAGGACTGAGTGGACTTGTAGGCTCTAAGGTTTTCCTTTTGTTTTATTTTTGAATGCAATTTTTTGTAAATAATTCTACATTTATAACTCATAATAAAGAGATTGCACAACTATACTTGTATTTTTCAATTAAGCTAATACTATTTATTTTTACGGTGCAAATAATTGTAATCAAAATAATAGTGATCACTATGCACTTCGTAATCCGTGTTTGTTATTGAAATCAATATACTTAATGTAGATAGACATTCACAAATATTTAAATGGTGTTCTATTGTTTAACAACATGATTAACCATGATTGATTTTAATTGCTTTGAAAGCCCTAGTTCCTATCAGATTGTCTGATGACACTTACAAAAACAAGGTATTTAGCAGAAGTTTAAGACATCAGACGATCACACTCATTCATATATATTTTGTGTTCTATGTTGGGAAGGATTTTTAGGAGAGTAAGGTGGTTCAGTTAATTTCCTATAGTAATTTCATTTACTGCTTTGCCAGCTGCATGGAGAGCAGGCTGATCAACTGTAGCTTTCGCTTCCCTGATGTTAAACTCAGATAAAAAATGACTTGTAGCTCCAGCAGATGTTTTTGCTTTTAGGTCAGTAAGAATGCTATCGATCAGTATGTCTAGGTGTCCCCAAGAGTTAAAGTCCAGATAGGTTCATATCAGGCAGTGTTGTTACTTAATGCCAGGCTGCGAGATTGACCTGATTTACAAGGAATCAAGGAAAAGTTCATAAAAACAATTAGTTGAATAAACAGTACATAGCTTGATAGATTCTGGTCCAAATATTTTGAAAAGCCTAAATATGCATTTAGATTAGTATAGGTTAAATGCTTAAGAGACTGGAATAGTCCCAACAGAGTAGTTCTAGTGTATTATAAAATTTACTTGTTTTACTTTTTAAAGAAAAATCCTCTACAAATTTCATTTAAAAGAATGTTGAGGCTGTAACTTTAACAAAAATTAAAGCAAAGAGAAGACAACACATGTACATTGCTTTCTCTCTGTAGTGGTGTGAAATAAGGATCTACATTTTGTTTTTCTGATCTGTCTTATCCACCAAAATGACCAAGAAGTTGTCAGTCAACAAGTGTGATGTTCTCTAGAACCACTCTTACTTCAAAGCTCAACTTCATATACTAATATTGGGCTGGCTCTTTTTTTTTTTTCAACTAGAACATTTAAAATGTCATGCCCATGCTTGTTATAACCCATGAGAGGATATACAAAACAGTAAATGGTCTAAAGAAAGTTAATTAGGCAATCCTATGTATCCTTTCTCATGGTTTAAGACATTCTGTAAAATAGAGTAACATATTTAAAACACATAGAAGGAAATATTTTATAGTGTCATGAGCTTTCATGGGCAAAACCCACTTCCTCAGATGAGTGGAGAAAGAGACAGTGAAGCTTTTAGTAGGATATGCAAAAGGATTAGGTTATTTTATGGGCAATGAGAATATCCAGTTAAACTGGTAGAATTAAAAAAATGTGGGGATATTAAACCCTCATGCTAAGCTAACCACTTAAGAGATGGGTTTAAGGAAGAAATTTCCTTTGTTGGCATATCATTCCTTAATTATCCAGCATACATGGGATTCTTTGTATCTTCTGATGTATCTGAAACAGGGTACTTTATTTGATGGATCATTTATCTGATCTATTTTTCTATTCATATAAAGGCCTACATGCATCATTGTGGTTATGGCTTTGGAGAACATATTTCTGACCACTGACATGCTAAATTTTGCCTCTTTCTCTAGTGCTGCAAATATAGATATACTATATAGATATACTACTAAATATAGATATACTACTTTTTTCATAGGCTGGCATTGTTAATTGTGGTGACAATAGGATTCTGATAACTTGAGTTTTTGCCTAATGTTTTACTCTTCAAGTCATTGATTTAGATAGTTTAGTGTGCTTAATGGTCTTCATTAACCTGAAGATGGGTTTTACATTCTTTTTGAAGGTGACAGAGTTGGTGCTTGATAACTGTCGATCCAGCAATGGTGAAATTGAAGGCCTGAATGAGTCATTTAAAGAACTAGAGTTTCTCAGTATGGCCAATGTAGAACTAACATCATTGGCCCGACTCCCCACCTTAGCTAAGCTCCGAAAGGTATGTATTTCTATATTACAACAGCAAGCTCTTTTGCCAAACATCTTTGGTTAACACAGCTTCTTGTACACTTTCAGTATTCACAATCACATTTGCATTGATTGAAATGTCTTAGTAGAATAAGTTTGCAGGGCTGTGAAATGATGTCAATCTAAACTTAAGATTTAAAATTGGTGTAGGTAATGTTTAAATGATTTTTGTCCATAAACTCCTGGAACAATAAGGGCCCTATCTATTCAGCACTAGAAATACTGGTAGATACCAAGGATGCCAGAGCAAGGTCCCTGATTCTGCAAAGGATCCTCTGAGAAGTCAGTCGTTATAGATCAAGGTTTAAAATTTAAAATGATAGCCATCATAGTATTAGCCCTTTCACTGATGCTATGGCTTTAATTAATGATTTAATCAATAAAATACATCAGTACTTTTTATATGAGGTAATAAATGTGTGTATCTTTCATATGCACCACCAACTTAAAAATGAGATCTAAAAAAACATGAACTTCATTGCTTCTAATTAGAAATTACCCTTTATAATTTCTGTAAACTTTAAAGTAATCTTTCAAAATAGAGATTAACAATTCAAATACTGATTAAGACACATAGCTAGTACTGATTAATGTCTGAGGCAGTGATCAGAAGTTGAATATTACTTCTTACTTCTACGATTAAGTTAAAGATATTTCATGCAATTGAACGGAAAGATAGAGAGGGGGCTGGGGATGATGTATTAGGTGAAAACCCAGCTCTAGTGGATGAAACTCTGGCTGCACTGGAGTAACTGAGAGTTTCAGCTGTGATTAATGGAACCAAGATTTTGCTCCATTATACCTAAATAAAACCTGTGCAAGGATCTAACTTCAGGTTTCACATTTTGCTTAAAACCTGAGACCCCAATCCTGAAATACTTAAGCACATGATAAGCAGTAGGAGTTCAGCACTAAGAGCATGTCTACACTGCAGTGTTATTTCAGAATAACTGACGTTATTTCGAAATAACATAGTGCGTGTCTATACAGCAAGCCAGTATTTCAAAATAATTTTGAGATGGAGGATTTCTTACTTCGACTCCTATCACTCTCATATCACGAGGAATAAGGGAAGTCGAAAGAAAAATGTTCTTCCTTTGAGTTCTTGCTGCGTAGACAGCACCAATAGCTGAATTAAGCTATTTTGACTTTAACTATGCAATTGACGTAGCTGAGGTTTCGTATCTTAATTCAACTTTTGGCCTGCAGTGTAGATGTGCCCATGGAAATTAGTTATTTCAAAATAATAAGTCCTGAAATGACTTTTTGAAATAGCGTGTCCACACTTCAGGGAAGTCTCAAAATTAGTCCAAGGCAGTCAGTCTCCCTTAATGTGGACACACTACCTCAATTTAAAACCCAACCCCAGGAAGCACTGGGGAGTAATTACTTTGAATGACTCTGGGGAGTAGTTATTTTGAAATATCAGCAGTGAAGTGTCCACACTATCGTTATTAGGAAATAACTATTTTGAAATAAGTGTTATTCCTTGTGGAAAGCAGCAGTTATTATTTCGAAATAACCAGACCGTTTTTTGAAATAGCTCCCTAGTGTAGACCAGGGCTAACTGTGAATAGTCTAGATGCAGTCAATGGGATCACACAAACTTAAAAGTGAAGCTCATACCAAAGTTTTTTCAGTTTGGGGAGCCAAATAATGAAACTGTTAAATGAATTATCTGGACTGAGCACATTGTAAAGTGCTATGGAAATAAGTCATATGCTAGTCTTTAGAGATAAGTGCACATATCAATATAGGTTCCTTTGTTTTTAAGTAAACTTTATTTATGTAAGTAGTCTGAAGTTTTTATGGGTTATACAGCAAGTCAAGTGGTCTGGTGATGCATTTATTGTTATAATAAAAAACAGGTTCTTAATTTCTATAGAAGTGAAACCAATGGTCTGATTATCCAATTTTTGTGTATAATAGTTGGAATTGAGTGACAACATCATTTCAGGAGGATTGGAAGTCCTGGCAGAAAAGTGTCCGAATCTCACATACCTAAATCTAAGTGGCAACAAAATCAAAGATCTTAGCACTGTGGAAGCTCTTGTAAGTATAAAATAGGTTTTTTTTAAAAACTATAAACCATTGTGAAATCTCTACATTAAAAAAATAAATGATCAAAGGCAAAAAATATATTTTGGAGAGTTTGTCTATCTGTGAGTCTATGTGTCTGTTCAAGAACTACTCCTAAATGGTAAGGACGAGGACCACCAAACTCGGCATACAGCTTCCTCTTATCACAACTTAAAGCAAGGTCAGGGTTTGATTGTGCCATGAAAATGGGATGTGCCCAGAATGGGTCGTCTTCATTTAAAACCAGACAAAAGAAAAGACAGAATCATCAGGCAAGTGAAAACGGTTGGCTGGGAGTGCCACTCCACCCCCAGCCAGGACTGCCCCGGCCCTAAGCCTCCACCCCTGGAATCCTTTAGGGAGGACGGAGGGCTGAAGCTCTCCTCCCCTCTTAATTTGTATGGGAACGTTGATGGCTGTTCCCTTTCATCAGGGAATGAGGGGAAAGTGAACAGTTTGCTGCATTCCTCACTCTGGCTGGGAAGCACGGGGCAGATAAACCTGGACCTGCCCCACCTGGGGGTCACGTACCACTCTCCCAGCTGTGCCTGCTGGAGCTGTAGAGGCCAAGGAGAGACGCTTCTTGACTCCAAGATGCTGTTGTGAGAGGTAGTTCTCTCTTCCCAGGGCAGCTTGCATACTGAACCCCTCATGCTCAGCCTAAAGCAACATTTTAAATGAAGCATGCATATTTTCATTTTATTTTCCAAAAAACAAAAATTGAATTAAGAACCCAAGTAATGCCAGGTAAATCTTCTAGTAATATTATAAGTGACCTCAACAGTATTGGTTATATGTGGCTGACAACAAGAATGCCTTATAGATAAGTGCAGTAAATGGGATTTAAGATAATGTTACACAGATCAATAAAATATGAAATAATAATACACCGAGTGGTTTAGCTGCCTATATATAGATTAAACAAAACTGAAAGGCATCCAAAGAGCAAAATATTGTTTACTTTTTCCATACTTCAGGTTTTTTGCCAATTCAAGTAACACTGATGTTTTCTTTCTAGATTTGTCAGTATCCCAATCAATCCTGTATTGATTAACTCCATTGTAGTAATTCATCATTCCATAGTTCAGTCAAGATATTACTTGAAAATTTACCATTGTTCTTCATTAGCAGGGCCATATACCAGATCGGAGGCCTTGCTTCCTTTTGAGCTCATAGGAGAAATAGTTTGATTAGCACGTAAGGACTGCCTTGTGTGAACAATTAGTTTTGTATTTGTGTAGTCTTCCCTCAGTTTAAGTTGAAGAAATAAATCTTAAGGCATAAGCTCCACAGTCTAGGTCCAGTTCTGTTTTCTGCCCTCACAAGGCCACCTCCTGAATAATTTCACTCTTCTGGTAGAACATAGCTGTTACAAAAAATTATGAATGCGGAGGGACAGGTAATATTTCAGTGACCTTTGGGGGAGAGTCTTTAGTTATCAGAACAGAAATCTTGTACTGAAGTCTGTGTATAAATGAGAATCAGTGCAGAGAGTGGAGAACCAAGATGGAAAGTACAAAGTAAATTGTATAGCTAAAGACACAACCTGTTATGTTTATGCTAAAACTTACAATTTGACAGATGACAGTACAGTAGTTCAAGGTTCCAAGTGTTTACTGTGTGTTAACCGAAAGAAAAAGATTAGTACTCTTAATTCTTCGTTTTCAGCAAAATCTTAAAAATTTGAAGAGTCTCGACTTATTCAACTGTGAGATCACAAACCTGGAAGATTACAGAGAAAGCGTTTTTGAGCTGCTTCATCAAATCACATATCTAGATGGATTTGATCAGGAAGATAATGAGGCACCTGACTCAGAAGAGGAGGAAGATGAAGGTAATATTTCTAAACATGCTATAGCTACTAAATTAAAATATATTTTACATTATCGAGATATTAAGTTGGGGCTAGAGTGACTCTCCACTGCAGTAGTGCAATATCATAAATTAAATTTTTGAAGTGCAGAACAGTAGCATTCACCCATTCAGTTGATGCTTATGCTAAATTATAGGAAAAACAAGTAATAAGTAAGCAAGCCAGTAGTAATCCATTTTGTTAATGAAAGCTTTTTAGGGGAGGGTTTTTTCACTTCATATCTGATCTGTGTGGAAACTATAATTCTATTTCCGAAATCATATTTGAATCACAGTAGCGGAAGTAAACAGACAAGAGATCTGTAGCAAAGCAGGCACAGGTTGAAACTCTCTGGTCTAGCAACATCCATGGTCCAGCATGATTTTAGTTATCTGGATGTTCACTTATCTTGGGTATGGCTAAGTTTCCTGTTGTCCCATAAAATTTGATTATAGCCACCAGTCCTGGCTCTTGGTGTTCTGTGCTGTTATTTAGCTCTAATGCACCACTAAATGTCTTCTGAGAGCCCAGTAAGCACTGGAAGTGTTGGTAATGCTGCTAGACAATATTGACCTCTTGTGGTCCAGCAAATTCTCTGGTTCAGCTCCAGTCAGGTCCTAAGTGTGCCAGACTAGAAAGGTTCAACCTATATCAGAGTCCCCTTGTGACCTCAAGCGTCAGTTTTCATTATTGGTAAAATAGGGATACTACTTTCTTCATTGCTATTGAGGGCTAACTCATTGAGGGTTGAAATTAGATGAAAGACTCTGTAAAAGTCCAAAGTTCTTAAAATTTCTACATTGATTTCATTAGAAAGATGGCAGGCCTTTCTTTAAAGAAAGGATTATTTTAAACGCTTATGTAAATATTGTTAGCTTTACTAGTGATCATGGTTGGAAGAGTTACGAAATATATCAGAAATGTTTGTTTCACACAGTGCTGCCCACAAGTGTCTCCATGCTATTCTGATTAATTGTCCTATGGCTTTAAATGAGGTCTGTCCTCACACTTAAATCTGAGTTGTGTCCTTTTAAGTGAATTTCACCGAAGAGAAGCTAAATGTGTCAAATGCTCTATTTTGAAAGTATAAACATATAAGTCAACTTAACAGTACCTGAAAATCTCTTAAAGGGCAGGAACCTGAAATGTAGTGAATTTTTTAAAAAGTTTTACATAAGAATGGCCATACTGGGTCAGACCAAAGGTCCATCCAATGCCAGGTGCCCTAGAGTGAATGAACCGAACAGATATTGATCAAGTGATCTCTCTCCTGCCATCTGTCTCCACCCTCTGACAAACAGAGGCTAGAGACACCATTCCTTACGCATCCTGGCTAATAGCCATTTTTACCTATTATTACCACAATCTGAAATTTAGTGAATTTTTAAAAAAGTTTTAAAAGAGTAATTTCAGATACGGAACCCATTTCAGTTCCCTCTGCCAGCCTTTGTGGTTCACACTTCTATTTATCTATTTTTAAAATGTCTTTCCTGACCCTGCATAAAAAGCCCCATACAAAACTGCCTATATGAGAGAAATTGTCAAATTGGTGATGTGCAGTATGGGAGGTCTAGATTGGATATTAGGAAAGACTATTTCACTAGGAGGGTGGTGAAGCATTGGAATGGGTTGCCTAGGGAGGTGGTGGAATTTCCATCTTTAGAGGGTTTAAGACCAGGCCTGGCTGGAATGATTTAAGTTGAGATTGGTCCTGCTTTGAGCAGGGAGTTGAACTAGATGACTTCCTGAGGTCTCTTCCAACCCATGATCTTCTGATTCTTCTATATGATGCTACAAATATACAAAATAAAAATGAGAACTCTTTTCTAATCTTTGTTGTTCTAACTGTAGGGCTATGTCTACATTGTGCTCTCTTGCACAAGAACATATGCAAATGAGGCACGGCGATGAATACTGCCGCGCCTCATTTGCATATGTTCTTGTACAAGAGAGCGTGATGTAGACGTAGCCTAGGTGTTTCCTGGAACTAATAGAAAGTAAAATTCAGTCGAGTATTATGTTAAAATGGCTGTCGTTTTAAATTTTAAACCTTGATCTATAGTGACAGTGATTTCTCCGATGATCCCTTGGAGAATCAGGGACCTTGCCCTGGCACCCTTGGTATCTAAATTCTTGTTTAGTTACGTATTTATACATTTAAAGTCTTCACATATTTTAATTAATCTCTCTTGTCCATTTTTAAAAACTTCAGGAGAAAACCTTGTAACTGAGTTGACTTAGATTTTTAGGAATCTTCTAAAATGAGTTTATAAATAAACCATTAAGTTTTAGGGAATTATATGGAAATAGCTCCTTTCTTTCAGAAGGAGATGAGGATGACGATGAAGATGAGGATGAAGCTGGTCCACCAGGAGAGTATGAAGAGGATGATGATGAAGATGATGGAGGTTCAGATTTGGGAGAGGGTGAAGAAGAGGAGGAGGAAGTGGGTCTTTCATATCTGATGAAAGAGGAAATTCAGGTAAATTTATACCTTTTCAGCTTCTAAGTACAAGAAGTTTTAATTTCACAAACTCTTTCTGGGGTTTGGGATTTTCATGAGGCTATATGCCTAAACAAAGATGCATTATATTAATTTGTAGAAAATTATTCTTATAAATTCTAGTATTGTATGTAAAGTAACATACCACTTTAGATTTTGATCATAAAGTTCTCTCTCCGAAGTACTTAGGCAAAACTTCTGCTCACCTATCAGCTAAATATATCTCTGCATTTCACTTCAGCACATGGCTTTGATTTTTCTAATCTTCTATCCCCCATCTACAGTGAAAAATGTCTGCATTTTCTGTAAGCTAAAAAAAAGTGTTGAAATTGTACACTACTACTAACTAAATTGTCAGAGTATTTTTTGGAGTAAGGTACATAACTAATTTTTATTATAGACAAAATGAAGAAACTATCCTTGTTCTCAATTAGGTAATCTACAGTACTAACAATAATAGTCAATGCTATTTTATGAGTCATGTTTAAAATTAAATAAGGGGGGAAATCAAGCTTTTTGGTGGGTATTTTATCTCCCTGGTTCACCTATAACTCCTCTCAGCACTTCGGCAAAGCTAGCATCAAAATCATCACCTTTATATCAAGGATCTTAGTGAGCTTTACAAACATTCATTAACACAAGCTTAATGAGAAAGGCAGGTAAGCACCTCCATTTTACATGTGTGAATTGAGCACAGGAAAATGTGAGGTGACCTAATCATGACTACATGAATCAGTGGCAGTTAGAAATAAAACACACCAGCCCTGATTTTTACTTCTTATCACTGACAACTAGACACTTTTTTTGAATAGAGGAAGTATGCTTTTATTTCTGTATAGCAGTAGTTCATACTCTCGTAACACCTTCTGCACCACATTTAGAAGCAAAAGTATTTGGGATACCATCTTCATAACTTTTCAGTATAGTTGTAACAGAACATTTAATATTCTTCAAACCAACCTACATTCCACATGACTGCTGTGTGTGTACCACAATGTGAGTAACACTGTGGAACTTAATTTGGTGGTCTTCATGTAATGACTTACAGCCATAAAATGAAGGTTTCAGAACTAAAACTTGATTTGAGGAATTGAATAATCTTGGGAATTTCCTCAGGAGAATGGACAAAAATGGGTTTGGAAAAGAGAACATATTCTTCAATATTAAAATCTTCAGTGAGTTAGTAGTTTCTCTATACAGTTGCTTTTGGGAGACAAGAAATTACAGCATGCATAAAAAGGGCTTTAGAGGAACTGGAAACTATGGTAGCACAATAGAGCGGGATAGTGAGGATGTTTTTTTATTTTCTGCCGATAAGGTGGCCTATATTGAGCATGTGTTCAGGAGGTCCAAGACTGTCAGATTTGTTCATATTTTGGAAAATGCAAATAAGGGCTAGAATTAGCCAAATTATATGCCATTTAAACCAGACTTTGAGATAAATAGCCTAATTCAAAACTTCCCTTATAAATTGAGCAAAAACGTCTCTTAAATTTGTGCTTAAGACAAAATTATAGATACAAACTTTAACTGTAATGCCTTCAGATTTGTACCAGATGGTATAACAAATTAATGTGTTTAATATTAGCAGTTATTGCTTTAGAGAATAAGGTTCAGTTTTTCATTGACTCTTGCTGTACATCTACTGTTGCAGTCTTCTCCACATATTTTCACAATCCTCTATTTCTGTATTTCAAAAAGTCTGTTGTGTACTGTCTTGCTCTTTTTTAATGTGTCATTTTGTTAAGTTCCTAGTAGTATCAGAAAGGATTAATGAGTGGAAAGCAACAAGAAGCTCACACTACAGGCCAAATTCTTATTTTTATATATAAGTCGCCCTGGTATGCACCCATTCTGCACTAAAGTCGTTGACACTTGTAGGAACGGATGCGTTATAAGTCCTCCTATTCTCCACTCTTAAGTCACGCAAAATACCCACCCCCAAATTTGCACAAATAGAAGTCAGCCGTGGGAAAATAATTCCCCGCTTTAAGTTGTTTCACTATAAGTCCAAGTTTTTTGGAATGTATCTTGGACTTATAGCTAGGATGGCCTGTATCTGTGCAGCCCAGTTTAGTGAAATATAGTGAAGAATTTAGTATCCTGTCTTCACACAGATGTCTAGTAACGAAGTAAATAAAGAATGTGATCGCTATACAGAATAAGTGCTTTTATTTGTTTTCTGTGAAATACAGATTGCTTAAACTAAATGTAGGTATACTGTAGTTTTTAAAAATCTGATTAAATATTGCTTATTATGAAGGATGAAGAAGATGATGATGACTATGTTGAAGAAAAAGGTGATGAGGAAGAAGGTAAGTTTCACAAAGCATGAAAATAGCATGTTTCAGAACCCTTCTGAATTGATTCTTTCAACTTCTGTAATTTAGAAGGTTGACATTAGCAGTCTGTTGGTATAAATTGTCTGTTTAGCTAGTCTCTTTGAAGGTATGTAAACACAAAGAAAGAGGGTATCCTGATATGGATTTATGAAACATTTCAAAAGTTAAATATTTAGATATTTAGCTGAGCAGCAATGCATTAATTCAAATGCTATCTCTTCTTATGTGGCTTAACTTAACACTTAACTTTTGAGTAAAAGTGAAAAAAAAATTTCTAAGCATTTTTATAGAAATATTTTAGCGCCCTGAATGAATAAGAGGAAATTTGCCAAGTAAAGGATTTACAGAAATTAATTTTCTAACGGCTATGTTGCATGAACTTTGTAAACTTCATTTAACATAGGTTTAAAAGATCTTTATTAATGCATCAGAAATGTCTGAATTTCCTAGTTAGGGTCTAAAAGCAGTACTTGCGTTCTTAGGACATCTGCAACAAAACATTTCAAGGTGGTGTCATTTAAGGGAAAAAAGGCCAATATCCCTTTTAAGCGCTGAATGTTTAAATTCATAGGTTGGATTTTCTTTCCCATCTAGTCTCTTTCAGTAGCTTCCTAGAGTTTAAGTGAAATTCCATGCATTACTGCCTTATGTGGTTCCTATAAAAATAGACAAAGGCTTGGAAATAGATGTCTGAGGGAAAAGAGACGTAAGTGTATTGCTAGTACTGAGGCATAGTGCAATGACTT